GCACCGCGCCGCCCTCCCCCGGTGCCGTCCCGCGTTGACGGCCCCCACCAGCACCGCCGCCCTGCTCTCCCCTGCCAGGGCCCGAACTCCCTCACGTGTCAACAGCTTAAAGGAAATTATCTGGAATTATAAAATTGATCCTGACCTCCTGGAAATGTCAGGTATCTCAGTGCTCACCGAAACGCTGTTATTTAGTCTGAAGTATTCATGAAGACTCAGAGGGTATGCAAGTCCTGAAAGCCCAGTAAAATCTAACTGAGCGTTCATGGAAGTACTTTATTGTGGTTAACAGATTTTATTCTTCCACTGCTGACGTTCTGAGCGCTATCTTTATTTACCCCATACCTTACAGCAAAGCCCAGCAGTTCCCAGTAGGAGGGGACCTCCTGGTGCTCCGTACCACAAGCCCACAAAACCCCTGCTGTGGGGAGCGTATGGACCATGCAAGAGCTGCTCCTGAAGAATCCGTGCAGAGAAGAGCAAAGCCAGACTCCTTACAATTAACACGCTTGGTTTGGAGGTGCCTCACCCCTGTCTGCCAATGCCACAGGCACCGAGAAGGGGCTGAGGGAGAACGACAGTGACGCCGTTGCGACAGGTTCAGGTCTTTGCTCTTTCTGCAGCAGATGCAAGCTTGGCCACGTCCACCAACAGGCTCAGGAACAGGGTTTGCATCTCAACAGGAACAGCCAGACACAACGCGGAACATGGGAAGAGAAGACCATCATGGGAACACCATCGCAGGTGGTTTAAACTCCCGTATACCCAGACCTTTCCAGGTTAAGCAAAGACCCCATGCTGGTGCTGGAGGTGCACCAAGGGAGCCCAGCCATGCTGGCACAGCTCCCCACCTCGCCAGCGCTGTGCTAACGTGGCTGCCGCACGCCTGAGCCATGGCGAGTACCGCAGCCTTGCGCTCCCACCACGCAGACCTGTCACCCCCCCCATCTTTAGTACAGCACCGCAACACACCACTTTCCTGGCGGGACAGATGCTCCACAAAGAGGTCAGAGCAAAACCCACCATCGAGGGAAGGGGGTTACACATCACTTCTTGTTGCTGTCATTTGGTGGGTTGTTGGGTTTTTTTTAAACACATGCTACTTGCTGCGCTGCCTGCAACACCCAGGACACCTCTGGCTCCTCCACAGCTGCCCCCCGGTGTCACCAGACCTCTTGGAGCCCCTTCATCACACTTCACTCTTCGGCCCGGCCACAGCATGGGCCAGCATGGTCCTTTCACCTGTCTGGCTCTCCTAAGACGGACACTACGCTCACAGATAGTTTCTAAATCGTGTAAATACAGACCATACAAATACAGCAGTAACTAGGTCATTAGGTGGGCTTCAGGAGCCTTTTGATAGGATGATAACTCCAGGAAAGCCTGCCTTTTAGGATGCTGATATCCTAATGTTGACATATGTTAAAGTACTGACAGCTTTCAAGAGCTTCTATATTGTCGACTGCAAACATTCAGAAGTCCCAAGTTCGGCCCCAAAATAAACAAGATTCTTAAAAAGTAACATAGGGGGTCTGTCAAATTAGTCTTTTGGAAATCAAGAACTTTGTACGTCCTCAGGTTGTATTTTCTCAACCTCTGCCCGCAACTAGAGAAATTTCTTTGGGGGAGGGGACAATTTGAGAGATTAAATTCCGATACTACCACATCTTGCTTTTAGGAGCTGAAAGGGAAACATCAAGGGTCTCAGGAGCTGGCTTAAGTTTTTCCACATTCAGTGTTTTTCCTGACAACTCAGGTCCAGAATTGCTAAAATTACACGAGAATCCCAGCTCTCACAAGAAAAATGTGAAGTTTTAGCCCTTTGCAAGTAAATTAAAAAATAACACAAAATCTTAAGGGAACAATCGTTTTTTTTTCTTGCCCTAATAATGAGACCTTAATAGTGTGAGGCTTCTACTCTTTTCCAGTTTACCTCCCCACCCCCAAGTCTCTGGCCCCAGCTGGGGGGCAGGAAACAATTAGAGATAGGTACACACTACCCAGAGAGCCAGGCTCTTACCTCAGGAATTTCTGTGTCACTGGAAAAAGCAAAAAAGCAAAAATATCGCCACACTAGAGAAATCCAAACAACTAGGAGTTAGAAGACAGTAAAGGCCTGCGAGTCTGCTATACTCCAGTGTTACAGTAACAGTTTAATTTTAATCAGTATTTGTTTTGATAAGTTTCTCCAGTCCAGCAGTAAGTTAAAATGGTTGTTTTGCAAATGTTTTATTTATTTATTTTAACATAAATCAAACTATAACTAAATGTTTCACTGATAAAGCTTAGTGGAATATTTAATATATACATTTATTCCAGCCTTAGCAATTTGCTTTTTTTTTTTTTTTTTTTGCGTTTGCTCACCTGAAGCTGCTACCAGTCTGACTCAGCAGGCAGAACAGAGCAACCACGGGGCAGTGCAGGAACAAGAAGTGCAGGCTAGAGAGAACCACATGAGCAAGTACTTCAGTATATCAAGGACTTCTGTGTCTGAACAGTTATTAACTCCCTAGTCATCTTCCCTTAATCATTCTCTGCTGACGCTGAAGCCCTTGGTCTCTCCTGCTCCCTGCACTGCACTGGGCAGTTTTTAGGGACTTCCCTGTTCGCGGCAAATGCCTTAGGTTTGTCACGGTGTGTGGCAAGATGGAGGTAAAGGCAACATTTAATAGCTTATAAGGAGATGTTTAATGCGGTCTGATACAATAACCATCACTGACCTGCCAGCTGCGGCAGGAGACTGGAGCACAGGAAAACTTAGCAGCAGGGGGGTGAGGACTGCTGGTTATTTATGGGAGAAGGGAGAAGGGAAGAGTTCCAGTCCCCCTTCCGATCCAAGAAGATCTCTGATCCTGAAACTAGCACCCTTTGCAGCACACAACGTGTTCTCCTCATGCACATATACCTTACCACCTGGGCTAACCATCCCTTCCGTCCTGGCCTCCCAACAGCCTGCTAGAACAATGAGGAGGCAGCCTTCAGCTCTCAAAAAACCACACATCCTGTGGATATGCATTTGTGCTTTACAACTGTATTTTTACACAACTGCATGCTTCAGTGCATTGTACTGTATTTGAAGCATTCAGCACAAAACTATAAAGGTAATTGACCTCTGGAAATTCACCCTTGAAGAGAGATTTTAGGCTCTGGATTTTCATGTGCTTGTACATGCACTGATAATGCAAACCAGGTGTCTTCACAAGTTCGTGATTTGCTATTAAAGTACCTTGCAAAAGCTCACTGTCTGATGAGAGCAAAATACTTTAATCATTCACAGCTAACAACATGCAGCTAAACATCGTAATTACAAATATAAGCTTCACAAATGCTTACTGAAGAGGCACAAAACACTCTAACATAAACTGTGTTGCCCTGACAGGTCTACAAAAGTACTGTAGCATGTAACTTGCATGCTTGTCTGCAGATACTTTTTCCCCCTCATACAATACTAGCTTCTCAGTTACAGCCACAGAAATCAGAAGTATTAGACCTGAATTCCCACTTCACTTTTAAGACTCTCAGTTAAAGCATGTTCTCCATAGCTGTTTGTGCTGGAATGTGCAAACTGAATGGCAATCCAGTCTACTTTTAGGAAGTTTACATTATGCCCTGATAAAAGAGGTAATTACTGCCATACCTCATAATATTTGAGTGGAAAACCAGGAAATGCCAAGCTTTAAACTTGAAGTTATCACTCCCATTAGAAAGCAGCCTAAACAGCAAGTTCAAAACCTTTTTGCTTTCTGGAGTTTTACATATTGTCGTATG